CTTTTAATAGATTAAATCTTTGCTAACTTTAAGTTTTTAACAAAAGACGGAGTATAGGAGATCCTCCTCGCTCACAGTCTCTTGCTGAATTCTTAACCTTAGCAAGAGTCCTGTCTCCTCCCATTGCTGCAAAGCTATGCAGAGTCCCCAGCTCCTTCAGCCTTCCCTTAATCTGTAGAATTTAGGGGCTCTAGAATTTCTTCAAGATTAGATCCCCTTGCTTTATGATGCACTGTGAATCTTAGGAACAATCCCTAGGGTTTGTCTTTTCCACTTCTCGTTTTTAAAAGTGGTCATCATATTGTATAGATTACACAACATACACAACCCTGCCAGGAGGGTTCTTGGTAACTCTTAATAAAAGAGTTACTAAATACTAAGGCAGATTTTTATGACTGTATCCCTTTAAAATTATTGCTCTTTAGCTACTCTATGAACCAAATATTTTAGCTAAAGTGACCCAATGAGGTAAGACACTTGGTAGCATATTTTTAAAAAGTGTTGTAAACAAAGCATTGATAACTTTAACATATTATGATGAACTGTCTTTAAGAGTTGAGAAAATAAGCACATTAATATATTCTTCTGTGTAAAGTTATACGAGAGAATAAACATCATGTTCATCTAATACTTTGGGTGAAGCTTTAGCAAAGCAGTTGCTACTGAGAGGCTCTACAGTCAGAGTGATTTTTAAAGACATAGAACTCAAAATCAACTTGGCTAATTTCCTTGTCATTTTCAAGGAAACAATTGTTGCTTGCCATTGTTCAATGAAGCCATTTCTACAAACAAATATTGTATTTGCTAGACAAAGAAGCCAAATATGCAAACTAGGATTAGAACTCTGTTCCTTTGGTTCTAATAATAATAATACAGGTACCTACTACTTAAGCTAAGAGGAAGCTTCTATTAAAGTGATGTGTTACAAAAGGTTCATTATGTTCTCCCTTAGGTGCAGCCAACCACAAAATACTCAGACACTATAATCTAGCAATTTATTTTTTCTTACTTATGACCGCTTTACTGCAAAGATTCCCTTTACAGGAATTGTCAAGATGTAACAAGGCAGACCACTTGAAGGGCAACAATAAGCTATATTTTTGTTAGAATTGCACAAAAATGGTAGATAAGAAGTCAGAATTCTAAATTATGGTACTATTTTCATGTCCAGAAATCCAAGCTGATGGATGAATTTTCCTCAAACTTTTCAGAAATTTTTTCATTAGCATCCAGAGTATATATGGTCATTATGAGCCACATGTTTTTAGAAAGGCTGAAAGTCATGTTCCCCATTCTGATCATTAAGAAATCCATTAATAAACTTTTGTTCCTCCTCTTGGATGAGGACACTGGGAGCCTTAATCTGGAATTTGTGTAAATATCTTGTTGTGAGACTATAGTGGCACTTTTACAGGATTTCTCATCTGTGCCCATAAGATCGCTGAAATGAAGCTCCTCCTTGAAGAAAACCTGAGCTCTAGATTTGTTCTCTTAGGCAAGTGTGATTTAATGCTCATCCACTATCAAAAATAAGCTATGAAACTCACTTGGCTAACTATAGTACAGTATTTCTAGCTTGAACAATTTAAGAATTTATTTCAATCTAATGCAGTAATTCTCCATGTAAAGATTATTCCAGTACCCTACACCATGTACTCTAGAAAGAGATGCATTCCAGTGCAGAATAACAAGTTTTACTATAGATATCTTTGGGGGAAAATGTCCCCATATGTATTACCTCACAAAGCCAATTGACTTGGCTTATATGTTTTCCTCTTCCTGAAGAGACCTTTAAATCATTCATTGATAAAAAAGAGCAGTGAATCTCCCATCAATGGCTTAATCTAAGGACTACCACGAAAAAAGCTATAAAGTCCATGCAGTTTATAGTATCTCTGCATGATACTAAATTTAGTGTGAAATTTTCTTATACTTCTCCTGTGCAGACACACAAGGACTTGCAGCATTATTTATTTCTCACAAAATCAGAAATATATGTAATCTCCCCTAAATCTTTTGGGAAATATGAGCAATCATCCTGTTTCATCATCAAAACAGAATGAGATGGTTTAGGGAAAAGAAAGACACCTCACAGATTGCCATCTCTATTATGCCAGAACATTTCTATGCTCCTAATTCATCGTGAAGAGCGTTTTCCTCAAGCTGTCACTGTAGAACATGTTTTCCTATCATTTTCAGAGATGAATCTATTATTTCTTTTTCTCATTATTTCAAAGCCTCTTGAAATTACATCATAATGTTTTCCATGAATCATGAAACAAGAAGACACATTTCCAAAGAAGCCACAACAGGCAGATAGAATCCCTTTCATGTTGGTAAGTTCTTTGCCTAACTCGGCAAGATATTTAAGCATGTGAGTAACTTTAAACTCATGCATAGTCCCATAAAGCTCAATGCAGCTGGAAGGCTTTCAAGAAGAAAGTGACATAGTGTGATCAAGAGGCAAGGAATGCTGCTACCATTATTGGTATTACAGTAGTGCGTAGAGCCCCACCTCAGGTCAGGCTCCATTGTTTGAGGCTATGTGCAGACACACAGTAAGAGGTATCCCCTGCTCCACGCCATCCACAACCAAGACAGACAAAGCAAGGAGAGGAAAAAGAGATACAGATACCAAATCTATACTGCACTGTACAGCCAGGTCTATGGGACTCGGAATTGTGAACTCAGTGTTTCCAAGCCCAGGCTGAAGCGTTCACAATGCATTGTAAGTCTGGCCTTACAATTGCTACATCTGGGTCTCTCAGAAGTGCTAACATGTCTATATTGGCCTACACATTCTGATTTCAATGTCCAGCTTAAGCTGCCTCCACACTGCCACACTACAGGAAGACTTGGTATCTGATCTTCACCCCAAGATGAAGGACCCACATCAGATCGATGTGTATGGGGATAGAAGACGGGTTTGGGCTCAAACCTGAGTCAGAGCCTTTGCTTAGTGTACAGTGTAGACACAGATAAAGAGGTGAAATGATTCACTAAAGGTGTACATTTAATATAATAGAACCTCAGAGTTACAAACACCTTGGAAATGGAGATTGTTTGTACCTCTGAAATGCTCATAACTCTGAACAAATGGTTACCTGCCTCTTCGTAAATGTTGGTCTTTGTAATGTTGCTTATGTCCATTCCATTCTAGACACGTGCATGCCCACATGCAGGAGCGGCCCGAGGCTGGCTGCGGCAGCTGGTGCCCCAGGCGGAAGGCGCGACTGGCACCCCCACCTGCACGGCCGTCAACGGCCATGACGTAATCATGGGGCACCCCGGTGCCCCGTGATGTCATCATCAGGCCCCTGGGCTGGCAGCGCCCTAGGCAACTGCCTCGTTTGCCTAGGCTCACGGGCCACCCCTGCCCACATGCACAGCGGCCACAGATTTTTGTCCAAGTGGAATCCGTAGGGGCAGCCTTGTGCCCCCTTGAGTGCTGTGGAAACATATTGATATATCTGGACACCTGTACGCTTTGCTAGTCCAGACTGTGTGGGTGAGGGGGAGGAAGGCGGCTTTAAGGTATAAAGCTCATTTCTCTATTCTTTTTCCTTGCAGAATCCTGTTGAGGCTGCCAAGGCCTTGGAGGCCGAGATGGCCAGAACTGCTTCTTTGCAGACTGCAGCATATGCATATCCAGTGAGCAAAGGGTAGCTCAAGCACCCTTAACCCACACAGCCTCATGTCTGTCTACTCTGCAAAAAGTTCATTCTCATCAAATGGGAAGACCTGAATCGAGGTCTTCATTTCTTGAGAGAGGCCAGCGGTCTGAAATCAGGGGTTGTGCCTTATGACTACCACTGACTACCTAGCCACATGCCATGCCAAATGAAGAGAGCACCATGCTGCTATGGTATCTTCCTTCACCAGATGCCAAATTCCTAGGCTAAATCTTGGGGAAGGGACTCCTTGAACGTATGGAGGGAGTCTCATAAGTTAAAATTGTACCTTCCCAAGAAAGACCGGTATTTTGCCACCTGAAATTGCAGGCTGGCTGTTGAATAAATTTTCCACACAAAAAGGTCCAGTCTTTTGACCTCTTTATTTTTGGGAGCTGAAATGGTATGCCCCGGTTGTCCTTTTCATTGGCCACAGAGACAAGCAGCAGGAGTAGAGGTGAGGTGACTAGAGGAGAGTACTCAAATCATTTGGCCAGGATGAATTACTTGTTTTTGGCCCTTTTGGAAGGGGAAGGGATGGATGATGAGGTTTGCCAGAGGGTCCTGGAAATTTTCAGGACCCCATCATGCACTGGTACTACAACATAGGTAGGAGTATAGGCTGAGAGCGTGCTGAACAAGGTGTCCAGCTGCTCGGATAACTCCTCCACCTCTAGGCTCAAGTTCTCATCAAAAGCCTAGGAAACGAAGGTGATGGAATGTCTCTCCAAAAGTAGAGGAAACTTCTATTCAAAACTCTGCTATACAGAACCATCTACCTAGTCTTATATTCTGGCCACATTTAGTCCTTCATTAAATATCTTCACTGGATTCCTACGAGATCCTGCATAAAAATTAAAGCTCAATTTGCACCTCTCAGTTTTCCTTCCTACTTTCTTCTTGCTCTCTCACACTCCTTTGCACATCTGTTTCAGAATATCTGAGGTTGGATGGCTTTTTCTGTGCTGTTGGCAGCTACATTGGCAAAATAAAATAAGGACTCCTGCCCCAACAAATAAGCCTCCCATTTGTACAATCTGGATAGAAATGCGTACACACCTTTATCTACTTTGTACAAACATAGTCACTGAGAGAGTTATTTTGCTAGGATCCACAGTGTGGCTTCACTTTACAAACCACAAATTATCAAGACTATAAATTACAATACTCCGCTCACCTCCCCACAAACCAAAAAATATGAATGAGGTGGTTCTGATTGGAATATCTGAGGTATAAAAGGTCATCATCAATTTTGAAGTAGCTTATCAGAGATAGAGAGTAAAATGTCATGGATGTCTCCCAGAACTAAAGCTCAGAATTTCAACTTACCCATTACCGAGACGTCATATTCTATCAGCAGAGTTGCTTCCTGCCCACACTGCTTCAGAATACTCATGGCTTCAGCATGTGATGTTCCAAGGAGTCGAATTCCATCCACACTCAGCAACCTGTCACCAGGTTTGATTGTGCCCTCTCTGAGGGAAGTTAAAGGAACAGTCCTTATTAATTTAACATAATGTGGTTTGGAGATAATAGCCACTTGCGCAAAGCGATTCACTGACGCTCTTTCTGACATCCATCCCACTTGACTTTACTTTTAACATTTACTTTGACATTAAAAGTGTTCAGGGGTCACTGTGAAAAGGAAATTGCTTTAATCGGAAAATCAGTGATGGGAAAAACTACCCATTACTAAATAATCAAGTCACAGCGGACTGATATTAGATATTGGTTTTGTTACAATATATGCTCTCTCTCTCACACATGCTCCAAGCACAAACACATTGATGAAAAGGCAGATTGCCAACTGCGAGGAATCACCTCCTGATTTACATCCTTCAACTCATTTGGACAGTTCACTTCTTCCCAACCTGCTATCTGAAAGAAAATTGGCTAGCAATGCCATCCTCCCTCCTAAGCATATATCATAATACATCCTGAATTATTAGCAAAAATTATTCCTATTCTTAATTCAAGTTTCAGAGAAATGGGCAGGGTAGGAGGAAAACAGAAAAAAAGCAAGTATTTTTGAACACTTGTCTGTTTATTAATGTTAGCCATAAGCAAACTTTCTAAGCATAAGCTAGAGAACTCAGCATCCTTTAAAGAAACTGTCTGTTTAGCTCCTTTAACGTTCTAAGGACACCAATGCCATTTCTGAAAATGTAACTGACATATAGAACCTTACCAAAATAGCTTTTTTCTTCTTTTTCACAGATACAAGATTTTATATATATATATATATATATAAATTTGTTTTCATTGTGCATGCACGTGTGTGTCTATACATATACACACATACACACACAACGTAATATGGCCATATCCTAAACTCCTTATTCAGGTATGATGGAGTGGGAGTGAAGCCTGAGAAAGGAGTGAGTAATAACTCCTTTAGGAGTAATAACTCAGGTTAGGATTAGCTCTAATGTGTTATCAGAAAAAATACACATCTAGATAATTTGTTTCTGTAGTGCAAGAGAAATACATTTTGAAATACAGTGTGCAAAGCTCCTCTGGTTGCCTACTGTCACTACAATTAAATGCATGATTTTTTTTTAACTTCAAAGGATTGGATTTGAACATTGTATACTGTGCTCCACAGATGACTCTCTTAACTTTTGTCACAAACAATCTAACTTTTCTCTCACTACAGAGAAAAATGAATTTTACCTGTCAGCAGGCCCTCCAGGTCTAACACATGTTATTACAACAGGACGAGATTTATTTCTGTCATCATGTGCTCCACCTAGAAAAGGGGAATGAAATAAAAGACCTTTGTACTGGGTTTTTTTATGAAAACTAATTTCCAAAATGTAATTCCAAAGGTTGCAGCATGCACACTTAGAGATTGGTTAGAAAAGCAAAAACTATTAAGCCACTAAAATACACCTACATGTCTGCACATGTGGAGCAGTGCTATGCTAGCTTACATACAGGGGATTCCTACTCTACTGCTCCTTTTGAATAAGATTTGTTAAAGGGGGATTTTCATTTCTTAAAAGCCCCCACAAATCCATTCCTTTTTTTTGTTTTCAGTACATACTCTTTATGCTCACCTGTATGGACATTCACACTAGGTATCCTGAATGCTTTGCTGGATGGTCAAATGGGGACAGGAGAAGGAAGGGAAAAATTGTACTTAGAAGAACCCAACAGTGACCACTGGGAGATGCTAAATATTGAAATAAAAACACAGGACATGGTTTTCCCTGAGCTTAGGGTTCTATGAGGTTCTGTGACCTGCAGCATACAGGGGAATAGACTAGAGATAATCATGGTGGTCCCTTCTGACTCTGAAGTCTATGAGTTAATAAACTCCCACAATTTACCATGTGGGTATCACTGTCTAAAAGCTTCATGAAGGTTTTCTGTTCTCCAATTCAGCATGAGGATTCACATTATACTAGAGGTGTGGGATGTTCTTAAACCATAAATCAAATTTTAATAGTTAACATAAACAACTACTATGTAAGGCCAGGTCTAAACTAGCAGAGAAAACTGATGCAAGATAGGCAACTCCAGCTATGTGAATTGCATAGCTGGAGTTAATGTACTTTGCATCGATTTTCAGGGGCAGTCTCACAGAGGGAAATCCATGGGAGAAATGCTCCCAAGTAGTATAGTGAGGAGTACCGTGGTCAATGGAGGCATCCTCAGCATTCTATTTAACGGGTCTTTACTGGACCCACTAAATCGAACCCCGGAAGATCGATTGCCAGAACGTGGATCCTCCAATAAGTGGAGACAAGGCCTAAGATTAGCTCCATTAAGAGCCCTGAGCCCATTACAAATGGCACACTTCCTATTAACTTCACTGGGACCAGGATTTGGCCTTATGTGAACCAAAGTCAGTTATGTTCTTGGCATAATGTATTTATTACTATTGCTCTAGAAATAAAGAATTATATGAGTTCATAAACACAGTATATTAAGTACAGAAGAAATCATGAATTAATCACACAGGATTTACAAATGGTGAACAAATCTTGAAATATGATTGTATGGTATCATAAAAACTTATCCCTATTTAGCTTGTGCTGATCTAGATTTTCACACCATTCATATTTAAGGATGACTTACCTCGTATTACAAACCCGAAAGTGTTCCCTTCTTTATGTAAAGTAACTTCCACCGTTCTAAAAATGACACCTGATCCTTGTACAGCTGAAAGATTTAAAAGGAAAACTGTCTGATCAGATTCATAGCTCTGCACTGCTTCTAATCCAGGCAGCGATTGCATTTCTGATCACAAAATGGGAACAGTTCAACTGTAAAAGTTTTTAAAAGCTGTAATTAACTACATCTCATGACCTTACTGCGAACATTGTGGATCAGATCTTTAGCCTAAACTGTCATATAATCACATAGTTCAATAGATAGTAATTCCAAATTACAGCCACTGAGGGATCTGGCTCTGTGTTTGACGGTATGTCTATATTGCACACTTCTGGCAGCACAGACAGTACATGTCCCCCTCACACAGGCATAAAGAACAGTGTAGCTGGGGAGACGCTGCCTAAGTGAGCAAAGTAAGGACATGCTGAACCCTGTAGACATGCACCCTTCTTGCTCAATGTCAATGAGCAGGGCCTGACAAACTGCGGTGAGAGCTACTCGCCAGCCCCACACTGCGCATACGCCTGACCAGCACTGCGCGTCCGTGCAGCGCCGGTGAATGGGGCTCATGGAGCGACTGGCTGAAATCTACTCACTATGGGCGAGTAGAATCAGTGGTTTGTCGAGCCCTGTCAATGAGCAATAGGAAAGAGCACTTACTTTTCTTATCTGGCTGACAGAGCTTCAGCAGCTACCTGTTTGCCAACCAGCTGTCACTAACAGTCCCTCCTGTTCCAGCCCCCATCTTTCCAGCTCTCCCTCACTCCAGCTCCCCCCCTGACCCAACACCTCCCAATTGTTACTAATTCTTTCTCTCTCTCTCATGCACACACTTTTAAAAATTAGGAAGTGAGGGAAGAAAGATGTTAAACAGGACTGTGTATACTTCTTTTCATAACAAGACCCACAATAAGGTAGTCAATGAGCTTTGGGTGTCAATGCGAACTTGAATTTTGGAGTCCATTTTGTATAGCATGAAGTTCTCCATTCACCCTCTCAACCACAGCTCCCAGCACATCCCTTGCCCCCATCTGCCTTCTGTGCCTAAAACAACCTTCCATGCCTAATGTCTTAAGGGAGTAGGTGATCTGTTGGCCAGCTCTCTCCCTCACTCTAAACCTGTGGTTCTCAACTGGTGGTCCATGGTGACATTTTTGGTGGTCCACAGGAACACTGTCCAAAGTCACACGGTGTGATCAGGCACCACTATTAGGCTGTTTTACGCCGTGTTCACAAGCATGTGGCGTGTCATCCATAGTGTCACCTAGGACGCAACCACATTGTGTTACTAGTAACTTCCATCTGAGGCTCTGAGCGTCAGTGTAGCTGCCGCCGTCATGCTGAGCAGTTGCTGTGTTGTTCTTCCTGTGCTACATGTGCTGGAGGTGGTCCACAAAATTTTTTTGATTGGCCTGGTGGTCTGTGGACTGAAACGAGTTGAGAACCACTGCTCTAAACTCTTTGGGGGGAGAGGGGGCTGTCTGGTTCACATTATCCCTCTTGCCTCTTCTGTGATTTGCTTATTATACTGGTGCACTCTAACATAACCCTGAGTCTCAGACTGTGGTAGAGATCAGTGAGGTGGCAGAGATACAAACAACAGCAAAGTTGTACACTGACAGGCAGGTAAGTCTATCACCCAGAAAGTTCCTGCCATGCATATGCTGAAGCATGGCACTTGAAGAGGACAGGAGGAAAGGAGTGAGTTGGCAGTGCCTAAAGATGTTATGGGGTGATCCCATAACTCCAGAAATCATAAAGGCAAAGTATTAACCCTGGGAGGGCTTTGTGGGGCTTTATGCATGGAAGAGGACTGTATCTTAAAAGGAGGAAGGCAGGGGCACTGGTAAAACTAATGGGCACTATTCAATTGCAGCAAGGGAGGTTTAGTTTGGACATTAGGAAAAACTTCCTATCTGTCAGAGTGGTTAACCACTGTAGTAAATTGCCTAGGAGGGTTGTGGAATCTCCCTCACTGGAGATATTTAAGAGCATCTTAGATAAACATTTATCAAGTGTTTGGTCCTGCAAACAGGGAAGGGGACTGGGCTTGGATGACCTCTCAAGGTCTCTTCCAGTTCTAGCATTCTATGATTCTATTATCACAGAGGAAGCCAAAGTAGAGTTTTCAGTTCCTATTATCTTCCCACACACCACGCCATAGTTCTCTTGTCTCTGAATATATCAAATGTATTTCACATGGTCCTCATTTAATGCTCTTCCCCAGAAATGGTTTACATTGGCTATATTTGGAAGCTTTCAACAGGACTTATGCTCCTTAGCCAATTAGGCAATTTTTAAAATCCTATACTACATAATCATTTGATTTGACCATTACTGCACTAACTGCAGAGAAAACACACATTTCTAAAACCTCTTATTGAAAATTCTATATTCTGCTGTTCTATGTGTTAGAGGATTCCAGTTTATCCTTTCAGTACTTACAGACTGGAGGGAGCTCATACTCCACTTCTAGAACAACCCTCTCACCAACATTCTTGAGAAGGCTGATGATTTCGTCGTGGCGAAATTTTGTCAGGTTGATTCCATTCACAGATTTGATGTAGTCTCCCACGTCCAGTTGGTCACTTCTGCAACAGACACATTTTCTTTTCCATAAACTTGTATCTCATTTTGCTACATTAGCAGAGTTGCTTTCAATTACATTTCAAGAGTGGATTAAAAACTAATCTTACCACACAACTAAAGTCAAACAAGTAAAACCCTTCTTGGGCTGATTTTCCAAATAGCTAAATGATGTTTCAAGAATTTAATCTAATTTAATATATAAAATATATAGAATAGAAGCTTTACAGTGTTTATTATGATGTAGGAAAAGCTGACCTATGCACTGGAACTGCATAATAAGGCCAGTTACAATACTTAGCTGTACCTGGGATTATTTCTCTCCATCAGTGTTCTTTCAAGCCCCTGCCTCCCCCCAACCTCTCTCTGCTTGGGCTACTGCCAGAAGTATTTTTTGAACAAGTTGTTACCTCCACAGCCAACTTCACAACTCCAGCAGGTAAGCCAGAGCCCACTGACATATGTTCTGCTCAGTTACTTGGAATAATTTGCCTTAATCTCAGTTTCCCCAGCTACATCTCCTCCCATAGCAGCTTGTTCTGCTTTCTCTGTGGAAGCAGGCAAATGAGCTATGGTTTGTTTTATTTAAATTTAAAATAAGCAGGTAATCAACAGCCATTCGAAACTATGATAGTACCTTGTCTGAGATTTTCAACTATATTTTTCCTTGATGTGATACATAGTGGCTACGTCTAGACTGGCATGATTTTCCACAAATGCTTTTAATGGAAAAGTTTTCCGTTAAAAGCATTTGCGGAAAAGGGCGTCTAGATTGGCACGGACGCTTTTCCACAAAAGTACTTTTTGCGGAAAAGCGTCCATGCCAATCTAGACACGCTTTTCCGCAAAAAAGCCCAGATCACCATTTTCGCGATCGGGGCTTTTTTGCGCAAAACAAATCTGAGCTGCCTACACTGGCCCTTTTGCACAAAAGCTTTACGCAAAAGGACTTTTGCCCGAACGGGAACAGCATAGTATTTCCGCAAGAAGCACTGATTTCTTACATGAGATCGTCAGTGCTCTTGCGGAAATTCAAGCGGCCAGTGTAGACAGCTGGCAAGTTTTTCCGCAAAATCAGCTGCTATTGCGGAAAAACTTGTCAGTCTAGACACAGCCAGTGTGTTTTGTAGGTTTTATTCAAGAACAGCAGTTAATTAAATTTAAACAGTTTATAAAAAAATAAATTATTCTTGAAACAATGTGTCAGTACTTCTTGTATGTATCAGAGCAGCCTTGAGGGTTGCAATGGTTCAAATACTATTGAAATGCTTTTTATAGAGCTTCTCTGCTCTGATGTGCTGCCCTACAGATGCTGGTAGTCACTTACTTATTAGTGACCTTTTTGATGCGGTATGTATTTTTGAAGCAATCATATCATATAATGTATTTTGTAGCTTGAGATGTGGTTACCTAGCAGCGATTCCTCCTTGACGAAGGTTAGATACTCTTGGTTTCCCATCCTTGTCAATTCCACCTGATACCGTAAGCCCCAGGGTGGTGCCTTCTTTTTTCATTAATTCAACTATTGTCGAGCCCCTGAATTCCTCTGTTGAAAGAAAGTTATTGGCATTATTAAAATTTAAATAGTATCACAGATGTTGTTTTTTAAAAAAGTATGTAATCTACCTCCCAAGGAAGTAATTTTGTATTTTAATAAGAAAAAATGTGTATATCTGTCTTCTCTTTATATTACAATTCACAGGCTCGGTCCACAAAGCTCTACATATAGATAAATCTGATGTAGATAGTCCATAACAGGTTATTAAAAAATGCACCAATGGACTAGTATACTCTAGACAGCCAATAAATACAAAGTGTAGGAAATCTTACATAAAAAGTAACTTTTTTCTATATTCAATTTCATATTCTCAAATAGCTTTCTTTTCTTTCTCTTTCTTTAAAACCAAAATTTGAATTAAATACATTTATTGTACTACAAATTGCTAGGATAAAATAAACAGTGGGTAAACGATATAACTGAATTTTGGAGCCAGACTAATATTGAGGTCATTACTTAGATGTCAATGCTAACTAGAATACCCAGACATAAGATGATTTCGGGAAGAAATATAATGTATCTCTCTCTAAAACAGAGTTTCTACTACCATAATACTTATTAATCTAGGATCCAGTTCTGTCAGCTTACATTGAGTAATACTTTTCTCCACAAATAGTCTGACTGTTATTAATGGGACTAATTGCAGAATCCAGTGCAATTTCTGAGAGTAAGGATGGTAAAATCTGTCTTATGTCCAATAACACCACATCAGAATGCCATATCTTCTAGAACCTGATTTTGAAGGGTAGCCTCAAATATAATTATTTGAGCATAATTTAGCAGCCACAATTACCACTGCAAAACCAGAAGTTAGATAGTGTCCCATTTAAGGGCAGAGCCTTGAGAATCACAGACATATAAATGAAAATTTCAAGTAGTGTCTTGCATCTACAATGAAGTGTAATACATTTGTTAGTCTTGAAGGTGCCACTGAACTTTTTGTTATTTTTGCTGAAACAGACTAACATGGCTACCTCTCTGAAACATAACAACCCATGAGACTCCTCAAAGTGCACTGAAAAAAAATCAATACACTACAGCACTAAGAAACACCATGGAACAAAATATTGCTTTTTTTCCCTCTATAAAAAATCTGAGAGTGAATTTAGGACCCTGAAAGTATGTTAATAGTGGTACAAGCCTGAGCCAAGCATAGTGTGCACAATATGCAATATTCTTTATATAGCAGTGCCACTTCAATATCATTGACATATAAACACCCCTTCTTTTCCAGTCCTGGGTAAGGAGTCAGGCTCCCCCATCTTGTCCATCAATTCTGTCAGCAGCCCGGGCTGTGAGCTAAGTGGAGCTGGGATTTGAGGTGCACAGTTGTTCTGGGAGCAGTAAATTGGTGTGCACAGTGTTCCATGGATGAGGGGCCGGACACGCCAGGTAAATGCTCAGAGGCTGGAATGTGCCTATTGCTAACCTGCAGAGTGACAGCAGAGCCTATGAGGCCTAAACGCAAGGGCTTGTGTTGCTTGTGGGCGTAAGGAGCTGATATACAGCAGGCACAGACAAGGCTTTTCATATCTGTACAGGGTTATACAGGGCTAGAAACGCTCACAGCCACTCCTACGCTGCTGGGACAACAATGCTGGAGAATTCAACAAAAACACCAGGTTGGCTAATAGTACAGATATCACATCACAAATGATACCATGTTTCAGAAACATGGTTGGGTTTATGAAACAAACAGATTTACCCATGATGTTGAACTTTCCAATTAAAATGAAAGCAGAATTTGTATGGAAAGAGTAGATTAGGCCTCCTGACCTCGCCTAAGGTAAACATCTTTAATGGTGGTGGTGTTTTTGTTGGTTTGTTTGTTTTTTAGTAAGATAGTTTTCTCTCTTCTGTGGAAATCTCTGACTTTTCATTAGTGATGGCTATAGAGGGGGTAAGAAACAGATACTGAATGACAGCAATGCAGTGCAAACACTAATAATATAAACCAGGAAAAATTCTTCTTCTCTAAGTCTGATTTCTTTCAATGCAAGTTCTACTGTATTTTCATCTTGCAGTTGGTGGGTGAGATGTGTCATCCCAAGAAGCAGAGTGAAATATTTGATCTAGTTAATTAGGATAAAGTTGCAATGACTAGATTACCATTTCCCCCTCTCCAGAGTCTTATACATTTGACACAGAGCACAAATAGGGCATGGCATAAAATCATAAATAAGCGACCCCAAACAGCAGTCATGACAGCACTCTGATGTGCAGTGATCCCATGCCAGAGACTACACAGATGATAGATTCTTTGTATCTTAGGTCAAAGACATTGCTGCTTTGTTTCTGTGGAGAAAAAATAGGGGGTGGAATCAATACCAAAAGAAGAAGGGGTTTGTGGCTCTGAATGGGAAAATTTAGCTCTCAATTTTGGTCTTTTGAATGCACTGTGGTGTTTGCAATTACTTTGCTTGAGATGCTCTTTTACACTATATTTTGTATGGATTTTTTGTGCAAACAAATGAACAAAAACAAAACCCCTATACTCTGAAAATCTAAAAGTGCCCAGGCTCCAAGAGTGAGTGAGTGTGGTGTAAGAGAGGAGGGCCTGAATATAGAGAGATCAATTTGAATTACACTGACTAGGATGACTGTAACTGATTCCTTTAAGAGCTGGGACTTACTCAGAGACTACTACTTCGCCTTCCCCTTATCCCATCATCTGGGTTGGGTTCTTATACAAGCATCTGACACCTTCCTTTATAAGAGGTGGCACTGATATCCACTTACTCAATCTCCTTTTGTGTAATCCATCCACTACTTCCTCAGCTTTCATTGGAATCTCTTTTCTATCACCCTCTTCTGCCATGTTAAATCCACAAGGTCCTCTTCATTCATCCTCTGTATGTGCCTGAACCAGTGAAATTAGTATTTTCTGAATTTTGTCAGCCACATCACAAATTCTGACTTGCAACCATGTTGTCATCCGTCCTTTCATGTAACACTTTTTATTTCATGAGGAAATCTCATTTCAAGCACCTATGGGCATTGCACTTGCTGTTCTTTTATCACCCATGCTTCTGCACCAGTACAGCATTACCGGATGAACTACATAACTGAGCTTTCAATCTCAGTGGCATATACTTGTCATATTCAACACACCTGAGATATGATTTCACATTCTTCAAGCACTTCCTAGTCTGCACTGTATCTGATGCTCAAGCTTACTGTCTTCTATTACTTAGCTGCCCCAGTACCTGAACCAGTTGGTCTAGTTAAGTCATGTTCCCTTTAATCTCTATATCCAATAGCCGTGTGAAACCTCTACTGACCCACACAACCTCATGTGGCACAGACCAATGCCAACTAGGGATGTAAATGACTACCGTAAAATTACGAGTATAATGCGCACTTTTTTTCCGGACTTTTTAGCGTCAAAGTCCGGGTGCTCATTATCTACAGGAATAATTTTTTTAAGTTTTCATTTGGCAGATCCGCGTCAGTTAATTAATTGCTAGACACTGGAGGTTAAGTTGAATTTTATTAGCATAGACAAGCAATCATATACACTTTCAAAAAAGTAAGTAAAAGTAAAGAAATCAACACCACAGCTCAAACACGCAAATATGTTAATTGATCTTCTACTCATCTTTGAAGCCCTTGAATTCACTGTAGTTAGAATAATCTTCGAACAGACGAGCAATATCTTCCAGGGTATAGCCCTCGACATCTTCATCCAGGTAATACAAGTCATTGTAATCTTCGCATAATTCGCCCTCGGCTGATTCATCGTTGCTCGGATCTGTCCACAGGACATCATCCTTGCTGCCATCCATAGCATTAGAGATGCTGAATTTCAGAAACCACCTTCCTTATGATGGCGGGATCAAGTTGAAGCCAGACATCTGCTATCCACTGGGTCATGTCTTGCAGCGTCAGAGTTCGCATACGTCCACCTGCAGTAAATGTATGTTCACCTTCCAACAACCAGGTGTTCCATTTCCTGCATAGTGCATCTTTCATTGGCTTGTTAACTGTCACGTCAAGCAGCTGCAACATTTTGGTCATTCCACCAGGAATAATTGCAAAGTCTGTTTTGCACTGCTGAAGCCTTTTCTTGATCCTGACAATGAAATGCATCCAAAACTATTACAGACCGCTTTCTCATAAATCCACCCAGCCGCTTCGCCCAAACCATCTGTAGCCAATCAAGCATTAAAGCTTTGTTAATCCAGCCTTTAGGGTGAACATGCACGTGAACAGTGTTCGGGAATATAACATTCTTTGGCATTGTCTTGCACTTGAAGACAATATAAGGAGGCAGCTTCATTCCGTCGGCCATGCAAGCAAGCATTACAATGAACCTCGACTTTTCATGCCCTGTGGTAGCAATTGAGGTGGTCTTGGCACTTTTCACTTCAAACGGTCTATCGTAAGGATTATCAAAATTTAAAGGTGTCTGATCTGCGTTACCGATTAATGAAAGGTCATACCTGTGCTCCTTGTGTAGTTTTATGATAAACTTTTGGAACTGTAGTAACGGTGTCAGAGTCCACAGGTAGCTTATGCGCGATTGTCATTCGGCATTGGACCAATAGGCCATGCTGATGCATGAATCGATTGCTCCAGCCATGTGAAGCTTTAAACTGTGTTAGCACAAGTTTTCGCAAAAGTCAAAGCCTTCATTCGAACCTCCACAATGCTAACACCACTGCCTTGCTGTCGACGCTCAGCAATCCACTCAAGCAGCTTGGCCTCCACCTCAGGATATTCAGCGCTTTTACCTCTCTCAGCCATCTTCATCTGAGGCAATGCTTGCAGGCGCTCTTTCTGCCATCTCCAAAGCTGAATGTTAGACTCTGCTATGCCATCAAATTCACAGCTGGCAGCTCTGTTGCCATGAGCCTCAGCATACCTAAGTACCTTAAGTTTTTCAGCTGCAGTGTAAGATCGCAGACAACTCATGGTATCACAAAGAGAGCATCGAAACGCCGTGCATTATATACTTGTGCGCTCACGTGCAGTTGACCAGCAATCCA